TTTGTGCTTGCCTTCGGGAGGAAAACTGGTTAGATCTGAAAATGAAAGGTTTTTTCCAGCTTTTTCATTGATGGTTTTATGCATAAGAGGTGTTTCAAGGAGAAATTAGAGGTGACTCTAGGAAAAGTGTGGGGCCCCGCTCACAGAATCATCAGGATCAACATGGACTTGCTTGCAATGGGAACAGGGATTGTTTAGCCCAAGGGGCAAGTATCAAGTAGATGGCAAATCAGTATTTCTCTTAATTCAATCCCCCCAGATCTATGAAAACACTTCCTCCTGATTCCTTCTTGGCAGGGGGTAGGGGGCTTCTTTGGCCTTGGAGCAGCCATTGCAAGCAAACCTCCAGTTCCTCTCCATCTAAAATGCTTCTCAAGCAATGACCAGGGACAGAGAAGCCTGGTGGAGAGTGGGCATGCCAAACAGGAGTTTGAGCTGAGCTGCATGCAGCAGAGAGGCAAGTTCAAGAGTAACACAGATATACTCCCTGGATTCTCTGTTGCTGCCCAGTTGCAGGAGAATCTATGCTCAGTTCCGACTCCAGTCAGGAATGGCTCTTTCCGCCAAAGGCATTTTCAGTGTCACTCCCATCACTGCAATGTGACAAAGAGCCCCACATCCAGAGACAGAAAAGGGAGTACTCAACTTAGAGACAGGCAGAACCACTGCATCCAGCAAACAAGGAAGAGGGAGCCATTCCTGGTCAATAATCATGATGAGAAGATAGCATGTTGCTATAAACTTTAGAGAAATCAGGCCTCCCTAGCAAGGTGGTGACAAAGATGTCACTTTTTAAAAAACTTAAAAGCAATGCCAAAGAGAAAGGAGATCAAGGACATGGTTTAAGAGACTCAACATCCCTGAAGGATCATATGCGACATGGGCGGGGGGACCAACAGAGTTCTTCCACAACATTTAGCACAACTGAAACTAAATAATTACGTGATTCTTCGCTTAATGTCTTTCTCTACCACTGAAATTTCAGCTCCATTAAGTTAGAGAACTTCTTTGTTTTGTTCAACTTGTTATATACTCAGCATGTAACACATGGTTTGGTATATCGTAGGTAATTTTGCCACGTTATTTTTTAAAAGGAAAAAGGGAATTCTGGGAGAGGATGAAGACAGAGCCCATCATGTCTCTTCTAGTGTTGGTTACATTATACAGTGATCACTCTGTAATTCATATTCCAGAATCACCGATTGTTCTGGTTTCCAAGTGCTCCCACTGCCCACTTCCTGGGCATCCAGCTTAAACCATCATGGAGACTATAGCCTGTAATGAATCAGAGGGGTCATGGACCATCTTCTACCTTATGGGCATCCCTTCTCTGCCGAAATCCCTCTTCCTTCCTATCTTCTTCATCTTTCTCCTCCTCTACCTGCTCATCCTGGTGGGAAATACCCTGATCCTGGTGGCTGTGGTGACAGAGCCCAACCTCCACAAGCCCATGTACTTCTTCCTGATCAACCTCTCAGCCCTGGACATCCTCTTCACCACAACAACTGTCCCCAAGATGCTGTCCTTATTCTTGCATGGGGATCACTACCTCAGTTTCTCTGCCTGCTTCCTACAGATGTACCTCTTCCACAGTTTCTCCTGCTCTGAAGCCTTCATCCTGGTGGTCATGGCCTATGACCGCTATGTGGCTATCTGCCACCCACTGCACTACCCTGTGCTCATGACCCCACAGACCAATGCTGCCCTGGCAGCCAGTGCCTGGCTCACTGCCCTCCTTCTGCCCATCCCAGCAGTGGTGCAGACCTCGCACATGACTTTTGAAAACATCGCTCACATTTACCACTGCTTCTGTGACCACTTAGCTGTGGTCCAGGCCTCCTGCTCTGACACCACACCCCAGACCTTCATGGGCTTCTGCATCGCCATGGTGGTGTCCTTCCTGCCCCTTCTCCTGGTGCTTCTCTCCTATGCCCACATCCTGGCCTCAGTGCTTCGCATCAGCTCCCGAGAAGGACGCTCCAAAGCCTTCTCCACCTGCAGCTCCCACCTCCTGGTGGTTGGCACTTACTACTCATCCATTGCCATAGCCTACGTGGCCTACAGGGCTGACCTGCCTCTTGACTTCCACATCATGGGCAATGTGGTGTATGCTATTCTCACACCTGTCCTCAACCCTCTCATCTACACACTGAGGAATACGGATGTCAAGACAGCCATCGCCAAAATGGCATGTCCCTGGAACCCAAATAATTCTGCAAAACCCTGATTGATTGTGAACTTTATTTTCTCACAAACACCAATAACAATAGAGGTAAAATTGGACAATTCAGATAGCCAAATAATTAGAACAATAATTCTTAAAATACAGTCCTAGGTATTCTTCCATTGTAACAAAATAATGATTTTCTTCCCATAATTCACAGACAAAATGGATTGGGCTTTTCAATTTTTAAGCTGTGACTCCCAAATTTCACAAGATTTGTGGTCACATTTCCATTAATTCAAACAATTTTGATTCTCAGAGACTGAAGTATTTGACTAGAAAGAAATTCAGTTTTTTCCCTTGTAGAGCTTCTAATATTTCTAAATGCCCCCAGGATTGCTGACACATAGATATGAATCAGCCTTGCCCTTTTTGCTGGAGTAGTAACTTAGAAATCCTCTTCAAGGAAAATGTCTGAAACTGCTATCATCTCAATTCTCATTTCCTGAAAATACACTGACCAATGTGTCAATACCAGTCATGCAGGAAATTTACCACTGGTGTCTAGGCCTTCATAGTGTCCTGAAAGCAGAGTATACCCTTCCTTGAGCTGATGCTTAGGCAAGAAGTATTCCTTAGCAAACCTGTACAGGCACCAAAGCATTGCATCCATAACAACAAGAGGTAAGTCGTTTTCTCTTATTAGTAGCATGCGGTGTCCAGGACCTGCACTCTTGCTCACAATACAGCCATAGGTATTCTTCCTGGCCCTAGACGCCAGCCCAAGCTCTTTATTCCCTTTCTCTATGCCAAATTTCCTCTTGAAGAATATTTTCCACCTATCACCTCACCTGCTAATTGACACAGTCTCTCTGTATCTCCTATTTTAAAAAAAGTAATTTCAACTTTTGTGCATCAAATGACACTATCGGGAGAATAAAAAGACAATCCACAATGGGGAAAAATATTCATAAATTAAGGAATTAACATCCAAAATATATTAAGAACTCCTACCACTCAAAACAACAACAGCAACACCCAATTTAGAAAATGGGCAAAATATTTGAATAGACATTTCTCTGAAGAAGACATAAATATGTCAAATAAGCCCATGAAAAGATGCTTGACATTACCATCTATCTGGCAAGTCAAAACCATAATGAGATAGCACTTCTACCCACTAGGATGGATATTATCCAAAAATGGAAAATAGCAAGTGTTAGAGAGAACATGGTGCAATTGGAAAGCTTGAAAAAAAAATTATGCAGCCACTGTGGAAAACAATATGATAGTTCCTCAAGAAATTAAATATAGAGTTAATGAATGATCCATCATTTCCACTTCTGGGTATATACCCAAAAGAATTGAAAGCAGAGTCCTAAGAGACATTTGTTCACCTGTGTTTATAGCAACATTATTCACAGTAGCCAAAAGATGGAAACAGCCCAAATGTCCATCAGCAGGTGAACAGATAAACATATATACTCAGTGGAATATAATTCAGTCTTAAAAATGAATGAAATTCTGATACATGCAACAACATGGATAAACCTTAACAACATTATAAGTGAAATAAGCCAAGTACAAAGGGATAAATATTGTGTGATTCCATTTACATGAGGCACTTGTCATGGTCAAATCCTAGAAACAGAAAGTAAAACAGTGGTTACGGGGAGCTAGGGGTGAGTGGGGAAGGGAGAGTTACTGTTCTCTGCATATGGAGTTCTGTCTGGGATGACTAAAGAGTTCTGGAAATGTACAGTGGTGATGGTTGCACAACATTGTGAATGGACTCAATACTACTTTATGCACATTTAAAAATGGTCCAAATGGTAAGTTTTATGTTACATATGTGTACCACAATAAAAGATATTTTAACAAATAGTTTCAAATCAGACCACAGGTCACAGGTCCTTGAGTAGCCCATGGGCTGGCTGCAATTTTGTCAGATGTCCATCTCTAGACCCACTGATCAGCTGTGGTCAGAGGAAGATGTATGGAGTTCATCACATGGTTTGACATGAACACAAGAATTCATGGAGCAGTTTGCCTTAAAAAGTGGGGTGGGAAGACATTTGAAACCTGGTACATTTAGGGGACTCATTGTCCTATCGGTGTCAGGCGGGTGTTGGGAGGTTGTTGTGAAGATTTGGGTGAGACTGGGAAATTTCATCTCTCAAATATCTCTAGCCTGCCTCTACTCCTCTCCATCCCACTTCATTCACTCTGGTGCAGGTGTTAGTTACCACCTTCTCTCTCCTGAAGGAGCACAACCATCTCTCCAACCATCTCTCTGCCTCTGTGCCCACCCTCCACTTCATACGTGACCAGAATGGGCTTTCTGGCAGACAGATCTGGTCACCCTACCACCCTCAATAGAACTTAAAGGCTCTCTCCGCTCTGGCTCCCCCTAAACGACTTCTTTGACCTCACATCTCACCATTGCCTCTCTCATGGCAATTCTGAATTTCTTTCAGTTTGCCAGACACGCCAACTCATTCTCATTCTCACCAGTCACTCACCCTTCTCTCTTCCTCTTTGTCTATTTCAACTGAAATCTTACTCACATTCTCAGAGGAGCCTGCCCTGGCACCTTGCCCTGAAAAGTGAGGTAGATACCCTTTGTGTGCGCCCCCTTAGCACTTTATTACTCCCCCATCATAGTGTCATGTTAGTTGCTCAGTTGTGTGACTCTGCGATCCCATGGAGTGTAGCTCACCAGGCTCTACTGTCCACGGAATTCTCCAGGCAAGAATACTGGAGTGGGTTGCTATTTCCTTCTCCAGGGGATCTTCCCAACCCAGGGATCAAACCCGGGTCTTCTGCACTGCAGGCAGATTCTTTACCACCTGAGCCACCAGGGAAGCTTCATCATGGCACTTTAAAATTTTTACCTTTTGAACCTTAGGAGAAAAGAGCTCCGAGCTCATGATACCTATTAGACTGTGTAGGCTCCTTGATTGTTTTATCTTCCCCTTTACCTCCAAGCCCCCAATTCCCACTCCACTCCCCTTTCTCACATTATGTATGTCCATAAATACAAGCATATCTTTGAAAAGTAGATGGTGTTGTTATATGCATGTATGTACATGTTGAATTCACATAAAAAGAATTATGTTACACATCTCCACTTATCTCTTACATTTTCATTCAGTGTCTCTGTTGCTATTTATAAATCTGGTTTCATTGGTTCTTACCGGTATTCCATGATATTTCACCACATTTTACTTTTTTAGTGGAGGCCACCTAAATTACCTCTAACTCTTTGCTATCAGTGTGTCTTGATAAATGCCCTTGTGTATGTCCTTGTATGAATCCATGGAAGATTCTCCCTGAAAGATAGAACAAGGAGTCAAACACATTAGTCATGAGTGTACACAAACTTTAGCTAAACATAGTCCCTCTTCATTATTTGTAAATTCTGTGTTTGTAAATTCATTTACCTACTGAACCTAAAACCAATACTTCTGGCACTTTCAGGGTCACTCGGGGACACACCCAGAGCAGCAAAATATCTGAGTCATCATGTGCATGTTCCCAGTTGAGGTCTAACAGGAAAATACTCTACCCTCTTGTTTCAACACATATCATGATCCAGTGTCCTTCCCATGGCCTATTTCTGCCATGCTTTTAGCATTTTTGTGCTCTTTTGATAATTTCCCTGTTTAAGTTGGTACCCAAGCATGGTGCTCAAGTGGTGTCTAAGACTCCTAAGCATGAAAAGTCTGTGATGTGCCTTGTGGAGAAAATACATGTGTTATTAAGCTTCATTCAGGCATGGATTATAGTGCTGTTGGCCATGAGTTCAAGGTTAATACATCAATAGTGTATATACTAAATGAGGATTTTTAAATTAATTTTTATTGGAGTATAGTTGATTTACAATGTTGTGTTCGTTTCCGCTGTACAGCAAAATGAATCAGTTATACATATACATGTTGTTGTTGTTGTTCAGTCGGTAAGTTGTGTCCAACTCTTTGTGATCCCATGGACTGCAGCATGCCGGCTTCCCTGTCCTTCACTATCTCCTGGAGTTTGCTCCAATTCATGTCTATTGAGTTGATGTTGCTGTCTAATCACCTCATCCTCTGCCACCCCCTTCTCTTTTTGCCTTCCATCTTTCCCAGCATCAGGGTCTTTTCCAATGCGTCAGCTCTTTGCATCAGATAGCCAAAGTTATTAGAGCTTCAGCTTAAGCATAAGTCCTTCCAGTGAATATTCAGGGTTGATTTCCTTTAGGATTGACTGGTTTGATCTCATTGTAGTCCAGTGGACTCTCAAAAGTCTTCTCCAGCACCACAATTCGAGTTCCTCAATTCTTCGGCGTTCAGCCTTCTTTATGGTCCAACTCTTACACCCGTACGTGACTACTGGAAAAACCATAGCTTTGACTATACAGACCTTTGTGGACAAAGTGATGTCTCTGCTTTTTAATACACCGTCTAGCTTTGACATAGCTTTCCTTCCAAGGAGGAAGCATCTTTTAATTTTGTGGCTGCAGTCACACCACCCACAGTGATTTTGGAGCCAAAGAAAATAAAATCTGTCATTGATTCTACTTTTCCCCCCTTTTATTTGCCAGGAAGTGATAGGACCAGATGCCCATATATACATATACATATATCCACTCTATATTTTCCCATATAGGTCATTATAGAGAGTATTGAGTAGAGTTCCCTGTGCTATACAGTAGAATCTTATTTGTTACTATCATACATATAATAGTGCGTATATGTCAATCAGAAACACCCATAAAACAAGGTTATATATTTGATCACATCAGTTGACGAAAATGTTGTGACCAGAGGCTCACAGGAAACTAATCTTGTGCTCCTCCTAGAGGAATGACTGAGTGTATTCGCAGCAACTCAATAGAACACAGCTACCACAAATAATGAGAATTGACTGTACTGAACATACTTCAATATTGTTTCCTTGAATGGCTGTGCCTTTTATACTCCAGCAGTAATGGACTATAGACTATAGCTCCCATCCCCCCCACATCCTCACCAACATCCTCTTCCAACTCTCTAATTTTTTCCTTTGTTATCAGGCTAAAGTGGTACCTCATTCTGTTTCATTTGCATCTCTCTGATTACTAATGAAGCATCTCCTTGGTAGCAACTAGCATTTTCCCATATTGCTTATGGAAAAACTGCTTATTTTCTTTAGATTTCCTGTATTATTTCATTGCTTTCAGGACTTCTGTATGTTTGCTCCTTGTCAACTTTAAATTTTACAAATATGTTTTTCAAGTTTGTAATCTGCCCTGCCTGCATTGAGCAGAAATTCTTCATTTTGATATACTTAAATCCATCACATTTTTTACCTTTTAGTATGTGGGGTTTTAGCCTTTCCTTACCACAATATCACAGCTATTCCTCAATATTTTCTTTCATTAGCTTCCTAGTCTTTTTCTTATACTTTTACCTTGAATTCATGTGGAGCTCTTCTTTAAGTTGTAAGGTAGGAATTCTGCTTTATTTTTCTTCATATTTGAAACCATATTTTCCATCAATCTCTTCTTCTCTCTTTTTTTTGGCCACGCCTTGGGGTGGGATCTTAGTTCCCCATCCAGGGATGAAACTTTTGCCCCTTGCAGTGGAACCACAAAGTCTTAATCACTGGACTGCCAGGGAAGTCCCACCAATTGCTCTTAAAAATCTTGTCTCTCCTCATTGTTTTATAGCCCTATATTTATCAAGTTTCCATACATCTTGTGTACTTCTGAGTTATTTATTTTGTTCTATTGTCTACTTGCCTATTGGAATGTCAGTTCCATATTATGATACTATTATAGCTTTGTAGTATGTCTTTTTACATATCTGATACAGGAAGCCCCTTCTCACCTTTCATATTTTTTTAAGTTGACCTACCTGTTTGAAGTTGACTTACCTGTAAATTTTGGAAGGTTTGTAAACTCCCTCAAAAATGCAGTGAAAATTTTTTGAGACTTCATTAAGCTACCACTCCCACTTATTTGATACTATTAAAATCTTTTATGTCTTTACTTTAAACTTTTCAACAATCATGGTTATCATTTTTGATAGTATAAACTTCATCATTTGTGTTACTATTGTAAAAAGCATTTAAAATTTGTTTCTAGTTATTGCAGCCTGGATGGGAGGGCAGTTTGGGGATAGAATGGACACAGTATATGGCTGAGTCCTTTTGCTGTCCACTTGAAACTATCACAACATTGTTAACTGGCTATACTTTAATGCCTTTTCCATCTCTATATGCCCAGCATCTTTTGTAGGGCTTGGCGCATAGCAGTTGCTTAATAAAGAACTCAATCCTTGGCACATGGTGTCATTTGATGTTCATTTCCTCCCACTCTCTGAACAAAAACCACATCAGACCCCACGTTTTATAGATGCATATACTCACACTCAGAAGATGTGTTTCCCATGGACTCAGCATAAATTAAAGAAAAAGCTGGAGTCACAGCCTAGGTCTCCTGGCTGAGATCCATTTCATTTCCTTTAAGCTATCTCTGCTGATTAAATGCCCCTTGTCTTAATCTCATGGGAAGAACAGATGGGAGATCCTCTAGTCAAGGTGTAAAACCAGAGACAAAGGTCAGTTTTCCTTGAGAGGGTCAAAACCTGAAGGATGATTCCTGGTGACACAGAATCCCAAGCTGCCCCTTATTCTCATCTCCATACCAGTAGGTCTCAAACTTTTGTGTGGGTTGAAATCACAACGAAGGCTTGTTCAAATATAGGTTGTTTGGCCTCCTGCTCAGATTTTTAAAATTCAGTTTGTTCTAAGTGAGTCTCAAGAACCTGCATTTCCAACACAAGTAGGCACACAGAAGGCACTCAGTAAGCATGAGATTTTAAAATCCGTCTTGCAAAACCAACAAGTTGATAACAGTGCCCATTACAACACTCAGCACTGCCCTATAACTTTCTCCTTAAATGCAGTGTGAGAAAAAAAAAAATGCTTTGTTAAAAGTCAACTCTTTTCTTTTCTTTTACCAGGCAATGAAATCCTTCCTACCCAGATTCTTTTTTGCTTTGTTGGACAGGAAGTCAGAGCCTCTTTCTCACCTTCTGTCCCTCTCTTATTCAAGTGCTTGAAAGTATCTATTGCTCTTTACCCTCCCTTTAGATTATTTTTTGTATTTTGTCCTATTTTACATTGTCTTCAATTTCTACAGCTGTCTCAAACCCTTCTTTTACATAGAATATAAATAACATATATGTATTATATACAAATGCATAGGTATCATTAAGAAGACATCTGTTTAAAACAAATAATGACCACCAGAAAAGTTAAGGACTAGGTACATTTTTGTTTTATTCTCAGTAGATTTTCTAGGATAATCTCTAGTTTCAGGGGATTTTCCAACACCTGAACTGCTTAATTAATGTTAAAAGTGGAGAAATGGTGATCAGAAACCTGAATAAAATGAAGAAAGTACTACGGTAATACAGGGTAATACTATCAGGCCCTAGATGGGCTTCCCAGGTGGCGCTAGTGGTAAAGAACTCACCTGCCAATGCAGGAGACATAAGAGACGTGGGTTCAAACCTTGGGTTGGGAAGATCCCCTAGAGGAGGGCATGGCAACCCACTCCAGTATTCTTGCCTGGAGAATCCCATGGACAGCGGAGTCTGGCGGGATATAGTTCATGGGATCGCAAAGAGTTGGACACAACTAAAGAGACTTAGCACGCTGCACGCATCAGGCCCTAGACAGCAATTGCTGTCATGGCATGTTCCAAGAGCCTTGTGTGATTCATTGGTATTTCCATGTCTTACAAGAGGCCCCCTCCAGGGCTGGGATCTCCATTCCAGTTGCCAGTGGACTAGTATTCAGAGAAGACTTCATTGCCTCCAGAAGGCTCACAGGACCTCTGGGAAAAGGTCTGGCAAGGAGCCTGTTGCCATCTTCTACTGGCTCACCTGCCTAGTTATTGGATCCTATTCATGTGAGTAGTCACCACTGGAAGCTTGTGCAGGCTGGCCCCAAGAAGAAGAGAAGCAGTCCCAAGAAGACAGGGTGGTAGGTGCTAAGTGTGCTGCAGGTACGTGTTCGAGGATCTGCAAGCGTGAGGTCACTGGGCAGGGTGCAGGGCAGGTTTAGGATCAGACAACCAGGACAGAAACTGAACTGGGGACTCTGAATCTAATGCTAATTGCCTGTCCCAGTGCCTCCTCATAAAGGCCTCAGACATCAAAGAAGGTTCTTCCCTGACTTTAATTCCTGACAGTTCAGAGGTCTTAGGGTCCAGTGACCTGTAGTCTGAGCTCAGACTTCTCTGATTCTGAAGATTTATGATTACACAACCAAGATTCTGACAGTAAGATTCAAATATCCTAAT